GCTGTCATCGTGGTTCATGCTATCAACACCTGGGTGAAATGATAGCTTTTGTAGTTTTCCTGCGTTTGTGAGTCTGTAGGGGTTACCTTTATGTCTTATAAGAGTCATAAGGTAACCCCTATAGCCTCTACGGGGCGCTATGCCTTGCTGTCTGAACACACACACACACACACACACACGCACACACACACATACACACGCGCACACACACACATACACACGCGCACACACACACACACACACACACACACACACACACACACACACACACACACACACACACACACACACACACACACACACACACACATATACACATACACACACGCACACGCGCACACACGCGCGCACACACACACACACACACACACACACACACACACACACACACACACACACACACACACACACACACACACACACACATACAAACCCCAAAATATGTAATAATTAAGGACGCAGATTATTCCGACAGGTGAACTTTTAATTAAGAAAACATCCCGGGAATTTAATTTTGCTAAAGAATTGGACTCTATGTGAATTTTGAACGTTCCTCCCCCTCCCCCCTCCCCCCCCCTAGTTTATGTCAGACAAACACAAGCCATCCAAAAGCACTTAAAGCACACAACATTTTCACAACATATGTTTACTTAACCTCATAAAATGACACGTTTTGTGGAAAGAAAGACTTAAGTGTGATGGAACTTTGTATTGTATACAACCTTCATGCAGGTTGTATGAAGGTTGTATACAATACAATCTGTGTGGTGATGTATACATACATCACCACACAGAGGGAAATGTTGTATTTGTTGCATTAACAATTTTCTCTATGCCATAAACAAACAAGCTGTTGCAGTTTGCTCATTCATATAATTTGTTCAGTTGGCATCAAATAAATCAGTATTTATCAGAACAATTTATACGATGGTAAGATGGAATTTTAACATACGGAAACAATAGGCCTAGTATTAGTTAAATTGTTTGGTTGGTTAAATATAAGTTATTAGGCTTAGCATTCTTTATACTCTATAGCATCCTCTATACTCTATAGCATCCTCTATGCTCTATAGCATCCTCTGTAATGTCTTGCTCTTTTCTCTTACCTTTCCTTTGTTCCACTCTCCTTTGTCTCTCACTTCACTCCCTCATTTATTTCCCGGAACTTTAGTCGTCCACCCCCATACATTTCCATAGTTATTTTCTCGAGTCATTGTTTTGGTCAAGCTTGGGAGCTCTTGGAGGTCTGGTGTTGGAGGGACACGTGGCTCTTGTATGGGAGACACTCTACACACTGTCACGCTAGCGTAGAGGCAAGCAAGGACCCGGTCGGCCGAGCGGACAGCTCACTAGACTTGTGATCTTGTGGTCCCGGGTTCGATCCCGGGCGCAGGCGAGAAACAATGGGCAGAGTTTCTTTCACCCTATGCCCCTGTTACCTAGCAGTAAAATAGGTACCTAGGTATTAGTCAGCTGTCACGGGCTGCTTCCTGGGGGTGGAGGCCTGGTCGAGGACCGGGCCGCGGGGACACTAAAGCCCCAAAATCACCTCAAGATAACCTTAAGAAGGAGGCAGGCAGGCAGACTGACATTCAGGCAGACGAGCTGCAAGACTGATACCTGTAGATGGTCCAGGACGAACCGAAACGTCGTCGTCCCTTCACTTTCTAGTGTGTGGTCAACATATTTGAGCCACGTTATTGTGACTCCTCGTCTGCATACCTGTAGAATATGCACCACTAGTGTCATTATCTTTAAACATAATCAATTTGGAAAAGATTCCTGAGGTATACCACTCTCCCCCGAGTTGAGAGGCATGAATTATGAGGTAAGTCTAGAGGCACTAAACCTCACGTCCAAAGAAGACGGAAGAAACATGTGTCAGTTTTATTCTGATATTTGCTTGATAATGGTCACCTAAGATGAGAACAGTGTGGTGAAGGGGCTTAAGACGTGAGTCAGAGAACCACCTCTGTCCATCGCTGGCTGGTTTGGGTCTTAGGGATTTCACAGTACTGTTAAACTAATCTCTTACCCACAAGGCTCTCATATAATACAATGGCAGTAAAACCTTATGAATTGTTTCATTTAGAAATACAGGATTTGAAGTGCATGTGCAACGTTTTGCTGATATTGATAATTTTTCCCTTGAAATCATTATTTTTTACATTATTTATGCTGCATGAACTAAGGATGGCAAAGTGATCACTAACTAATTCATGCACAATTGATGCGTTGAGAGCATTATCGACGAGACGGTGGATATTAACATAATCGAGTCTGTCGCCTCGGAAATGTGTGACGTTTGACGGATTAAAGACGAACATTCTGTTCTCACTGAGATAATTAACAAAGAAAGTACTTATTTCTACTAGTTTTGGCGTCACCCAAGTTGGTACGTCTAGCATTAAAATCACCGACAACAACAGCTTCAGTGCTGCTGGTGAGTTTTGCCAGAAGTCTCCACCTTTTGATCACACCTTAAATTACCTTAACTTGAATATCTCTGAATATTCAGTAGCTGCAACTGCTAGCAACGTATATCTCACTCTTGGAGGGGTTTTAAATACTTTGTTTTACTCAATATCAAATGAAAGAACATCTTTATATATGCAGCTACTCTAGTCTATATTAAGGGTTACACACTTTGTGCCAAGAGAAAATATAAAATGTGAAAATATAAAAAAATAACTTATGACACTAACATAAAGTCTACGGTAT